CCCAAGTGCTGAGATTACAGATGTGGACCACCATACCCCGCTGAACTGCAACTTTGAAGAACATTGTTTTTATATCTTAGATTACAGACTAGAATTAAATTGTTTGAAGACTTTTAGTTTCATAAACTCATTGAATGTTGCTGGTTTCTTTTCATAATATCTTCCTAATATTCTTTTTTTAGAAAGCAATTAATATTTTTATTTCTCAGTGAGTTCTCTGAAATAAATTTCTTTTAATAGACATTGCAAATATAAAACCTGTAAAATTAAATATCATATGAAATACTCTTAAATTTCCACTGGAGAACAGTATTTACCTAATGCTTTTTGTAAAGTAGCTACATTATTTTTTACTTGAAGCATAATTACTTTGAGATAGTGACATAAGACATCTAAAATATTTCAACATTATTGCTGTACATGTACTGATGATTAGAAGATGAGGATTTTCAAATGGAAAATTTGCAGTATATATGTATATATTTAGAAAATATTTGCTGGAAACTGTGTTTGCTGATCAAAGTTTCCCCACTGACAGCCATGTTAACTTCAATTTGGTGTCTGGATTTGAGTATTTGGTCGAATATTTGTTATGTAATCTCTCCCTTGGCCTGTCTTTTTACAGCCACTGCTGTCTGCACTTGAGGAAACTTCAGAGGAGAACCCCTCAATTTCCTTCTGGTTGCCTGGGGGCAGAAACTCATTACTGGGGTGGCTAGGACTGACTTTTAATTTGGCTCCCTTTATTAGTGTAGCTAAGGGTAGAGAGCCTGCGCTGAGAGACAGAACATGGGTCCAGAAAATAATCAGGATTTTTTTGGGGGGGGCCGCGGTATAACGAAGTGGAAGTACTTGTATTGAGGAAGTTCTTGTTCTGACTACTTTCTCTTCACCTCATTGATGATGGAGAGAGGCTTTTCCATAAATAACATGAGATGGGGAAACAGTACTAGGCAGATGAAATATAAAGCAGCCTACTAGTCACAATACTCAGTAGGGGAGAAGGACATGCTTGGGGTGAAGTTGTGTCTTGCCTGGCTGTGTGGCGGTGTCACTTATGAGCAGAGTGAAATAGGGGGGCTGTGAAAGGAAGCTCTTTTCTGGCAGGAGGGTGGGGGAGTGTGGGGAACAGGGAAAGAGGACATTACTAGAACCTCTGCAGTAAGTCCTAGTCTCCTGCGAGTCACGACAGCACAAGGCAAATTAACTTATTAGATAGGAAAGACAGAAGAAATAAGACTTAGAGAAGAAGCTGAGCTTTGGGCCTGATCAGTGCTGCTCTGGGCGGCAAAGAGGAAAGCCCTGAGCTTGCCACACCTTTATTCAGTCCATAAGGAGAAACAAATGTTAACAGATGACTCAGGGCATAGCGGTTCAGTACATCAGAGTAACAAATGTAAAAGGTGACTCAAAGGGCAGCAGCAGCAGCTGCGAAAATCCTAGATCAATAAGGAACTATGCAGATGAAGATTTTGTTCCTCTCAGGATGCCTTCAGCTGGTGTAATCTTGTCCTGTAGCATCACAGCATCACCGGACCATTAAGGTTTTAGGTGTGACCAGAGGTGAAGATGGAGTTATGTCTCCACATGCCATAGCTGGCCTATAGGCAGGAAAACTAGACCCTGATCATGATTTAATTGTGAAGTGGTTTTCCCCCCAAATTATGTAAAATTGTTCCCGACAGGGGAGAACCTTGGTTTCCATGGGAAGATGTAGGGAGGGAAACCTATTACATTCAAGATAAGGCAGGGTGGAGCTAATCTAGTGGATGGGGAGCTAACCAAGAGAGATCCTTGCCTCCTGCTTGGGGGCCACATCTGGCAAGAGCAGGAGAGCTCATGGCTAGGCAGTTGGAAGGGACCTTGTGAGGTCTGAAGATGTCAAAACAATCTGTGGAATGTTAACCCGTACAGTGTCATGGTTAAATGTCTGTTGGGGGCAAAAGATAAGAGGAAGTAGTACCCTGATATGCCACTGCGGTACTAGAAGAGGCTCATAGGCTGTCCAGTGGATACCTGTAAGTGAGGGGGTTTTTACTCATAAATGATACAGTGAGTTCAAGGGGCCCCAGCCCCAGCATCTGGCTCATCAGAAGCAGGGAAGTGCAGTGGTTAAGGAGAGCAGGCGTTGTCATGCCTCACTTGCATTTGGGCAATTGTCAGATCCGTGGTTTATGGAAAGTTATTTAATCTCATTCTTCTGTTTCTTCATTAGTAGTATAATAGTGTTGAGATGTTAAGGGAGATAATACTTGTAAATACTTAAAAAATATTGGCTGTTATTATTGATTTAGTATGAAAGTTATCCAAACTAGCTTCCAAGGATGAGCTAATTGACATCAGTGGTCAGCATACTGGAGAGTCTGTTTCTCTTTCCAAGGTCCAGAGTTGAAAAACTGTAAACAGATACTTAGAAGTATTAGGGAAGTTTGACATTTGGGAGATTATTAAGGTGCTTTAAAATAATGACTTTCAAAAGTCTCCTCTCTAAGGCTATTGATAGTTTGAAAGCAAGACACAGGGCCTATTACATAAGAGACATTCAATAAATGTTGATTGAATAGCTTTCAAAAAATGAGGCATTATGACTACAAAATTATGGAAAGTACTCCCTGGGTTCATTTATAATATTTACAAGTAAATTGAACAAAAGATTAGTTACAGCACAGTGTGTAGCAGTTGTTGTAAGCTGTTCATGTAGAAGGTGTTTTTAGAAGGTGGGATGTGTTGTGAAGTTTCACAGCATAGCACACATACTATTTCACTGGATGGCACAGGGATACCGGGAACAAAAGTCCTTCCAAACCACTTGGTGGCTCATCCACTGTGGCAGCATTAAGGGATAAGTGGCAGTGACGAAATTTGCAAATGTTATTTTCTCACTAGATCTACTTCATTTCTATATCTCACTTCCCACCTGTTTTGGCGAAATAAATTATAAAATCACTGGGAAGAGAACTGGCCTGGATGTCTCTGTAAGCCTTGTAATGCCTAGCTTAGTGTTTTTTTTTTTCTTTTGTCATAGTAGCTATTGAATATATTTGTTAGTTGAGGTGTTTTTACTGAACCATCAACACTTTGCGGTGGCATCTGTGATTTTTCTCTTTGCATGATAAGTTGTTTTAGAGACCTTATAGGAATGAACTGGATCAGGTAATCTGAGACTTTTGAATGGTAATAGTCTGTGGTGGGCAACTATAACAAGGAGAGATCTTAGAATAAAGAAGTTTTGAGAAAACTTGGGAGGGAATTTATTAGCCTTGTATTAACATATAAGGGATTCTAGCAGAATAAAATTATACAGGTAAAATTATGCATATTACTTGTAAAAATGATGACAAATTATTAAACAGTCATTGGAGTTATTGGCTCTCAGCTGACAGGTGCTTTGGTATAATATGAAATGGCAGAGGAGCATAGGCTCTGGATTCTGACACCTTGGTTTGATTTCTAATACCACAACTTACTTTAGGCCTTGGACAAGCCACCTTAGCTCTCTGCCTGTTTCCTCACCTGTAAAACAATGATAATAGTGATAAGTCTTTGCAGTGTTGTTATAAAGATTAAATGAATGAATTAGAATCCATAAAATGCTTCCAGGATTATCTGGCACATAAGGGCTATCTGGTTGTTGTTTCTTCCCACAGTTATAGCTGACTTCCAAACAGTCTCCATGACAGGGGTCACAGCAGAAGAAACTCATGGACAGAGTTTTTGTTCACTTGTTTTTCTGGCATATGTATATAAAGCTTTGGATGAGGCCTAGAATTTTAAAAAATAAAACCTGTTGTTTTCTATGCTTATTAAGGAAGCTTCTAAGAAAAAATTTGGGGAATGGATGTCAAAAGCATAGCGAGCACTAATTCACTCTGAAGCAATGTCCCAGCCACAACCCTGGAATGACTTTAAAGGGAGCAAGCTCCTGTTCAAAGTGCTGCCTTTGATGTCAAGTGGTCATTAAAAGTCCCATGGCACTTCACTAAGATGTAAGATTATTCATCTCTATCTCTTGGCAGGGGTTCAATTCGAGATGAAATTCCCTTAAAGTGGTGAAGGTATTTATAGTCCCCCTCTGCCAGTGTTTGTAAGTAGTTCTGTTCTGCTGGAGCGGCATTCTCTTCAGGTGGCTCCAAATGGACACTCTTGTCCACGAAGGCTAAGTTGCTGAGTCAATCGCATTTACAGAATGTGCTTTGCCATTTGGTGTAGGGTTTCTAATACATTTCTTTTGTAAACTGTAAACGGACAAAATTCTTCATCATTTTCAAATTACTTACAATCTTTGCTTTTCTGTCTTTCTTTTGAGACATTCCCCTGAGCATCTTACCTTAGTGTTCTCTGAGAAGCATTTTAAAGAAATTTGGAATGTGGTAAAGCTCAGTAAGGCCTCCACAGACACAAAGGGCTGAGATTACATATGATGCTAAAGGGTGATAAGAGAAAAAATTGCTGTGATAATAACAACGTGGTAACATTTGATTGCAGTTCTGAACCCTTGGAAACAATTGTAATGCCATACAACATTGTTCAAAAACAGTAACATAAAACCATTTAAAAATAACACACTTTGAACCTAAGTGCTATTAGGCTTCTTAAAACAAAAAACAAACAAACAAACAAAAAAACCCAAAGCGTTTGCTTTTTGTATTATGTCCAGGTCCCATTTCAGGCAGTCTGAATTCAAGTCCCTATGTACAGAGGACCTGGATTTGTAGAGAAATGTTTCATCCCAGTTCCAGTTGATGTTTCTCATTTCTGTCTCTCAGATCCTCTTCATACGTTTTCTGTTTTCATCAGATGGCTTGTTTTTTTCCCTCCGGATGGACTGCGAGGGCGAGATCTCCTTGAAATTATCTGGCTCAGCTTGGGTCTCACAGCTCTGAGCTCTCCTGCGGTGGGCCGGGGTGGATAGCATCGCAGCAAGCGCCCAGCCAGGACGCAGGTCGGGGGCGTGGCCTGTCCGCGGGGCGTGGCGTGGCGTGGCGAAGGCGGGGCTTTCCCGCGGAGCGCGCGGGCGGGCGCGTCCCAGGTTAGCAGCGCGAGCGGAGCCTGGGGTGGCTGCGCCGGCAGTGGCCAGGGCTGGATGCTCGCGGCTCTCTGCGGCTCCAGCACTTTTCTTCCCCGCGCGGCGTCCTCTCGCCTAGGCCGGGGGGCGACACCTGGCAGGGCTCCGTCTCAGAACTCTGGTGTCTCAGCCTTGGGGACCTCAGGGAGCCGAGGCTCGCAGGTGGAGCCCAGGTCCGAGCGCAGCCTCGCAGCCCCCGCCTCCGGATCGCACCCGGGAAACCTCGGCCCCGGGCTCCAGGCCGCGCTGCGGCGGGAGGGCCGTCCTCGGCGGGAAGGGTATCCGGACCCCGGCCATGGGCGCGCAGACCTGGCGCGTGGGCTTCCGCTGTTTCTTCCTCCTGGCTCTCTTTGGGGCCGCCCGAAGCGAGGGCGTGCAGACCTGCCAAGAAGTTCGGAAACTTTTCCAGTGGCGGCTCGCGGGAGCCGTCCAGGGGCTGCCGGATTCGCCACAGGCAGGTAAGGAGCCGCCGGCCGGCCGGGGCGCGGCGCCAGGCGCGGGGCGGGGTCCCCGAGCGCCCGCCCTGTGGTCCCCCGCCCGGGCTCCGGAGCTGGCGCTTAGTGGCGAGATGACCTTCCGGCACCCTAGCCGCGAAGGTGTATCCCGAGGAGGCCCGGGGAGGCTCGGGGTGCGCCCGGGACCCCTAACTGCGCCTGTGGCTATGCGAGCTCCAGGCGCCGCTTCCCGCCCGGCTCCTCCGTCTCGCAGGATGCGCTGGAAGGAGCGAGGAAGCAGCGTCTGGGGACAGCTGGCCCCACCGCGTTTCTGTGAGGAGAGGGAATTTCACTGGGAGCTGTTTTCTCACAAGCTGAAAGGAGTTGGGTTGGTCGTCCCAAGCTGATAGTAAAAACAGGAACGAGGGCGACCGTCTTTTCTGTAATGAGGTCCCGGATCCTGTACACTGGGTGTCTCGACCTTTAGGGCCCCCCCGCGCGTCTCGGCACCAAGTCTTTCTTGTAGGAAACCGGACTTCCCAATGTATGTCCCAGAGCTGCGAGGTAGTTTCAGATCTGAGAGGTGTTAGGGCAACAGGCGATCAAACTTAACATATCCAGGAGCCACGTAACGCGGATGAGATGAACCAGAGTCTCAAAGCGGGTGAACGGTTACGTAGCCAGTGCTGATCATGCTTCCTGTGAACAGGTTTTGACTACGGTTCATATCCTGACCCCATCCTCACCGCACATTTTTGTCTACTGGCAGGCGTTCCAGGGCTTGCTCTATTCGGAAGAATAGGGCTTAGTTGTCCAATGCAATAGCAAGGTGACTGGAGCTAAGTCACATGTTATTGGAGCAAAGGACCTCTTTAGCTGTGACTGCGAAGAAAGCACAGAAATGAATGCTGTGAGATTACTTGGTTGAACAAAGAATTTGTGGAGAGGATGCCCGAGTCTAAAATCCACCCACTGTCTGGGTTCCAAGGTTGAAGAGATCCGCTCTGAGCACTACCCAGCTGTAGCACATTTGCTTGATTGTTTTTCTGGCTGTGACCACAGTTCTTGTCACCCCGAGAAGGAAATCTGATTATTTGGGAACATTGAATCCATTTCAGTTTACACAACCTTCTTGAACAGGGAACTATATATTTGCATACCTATCAGGCATTACTAGATGCCTTTTCTCCACTACTTGAAACAACATAGTTGATATTCTTGCCTCCTTAAACAAAATTACCTCTTGTAAATACGTAACAATCCATTAAGAAATAAATCTCACTTAGCTGCTGGTAAAGCCAAAGTGTACGCGTGTATATGCGTGTGTGTGTGTGTGTGTGTGTGTGTGTGCGCGCGCATATGGTGAGAGTGTTGAGCTGTGAGATCCTCATTTGAATTATTAGGTTTTGCTCCCCAAATGCCATAGTTTTGGTGGAGATATTCAGTGAGTGTTGCTACCTCCCCAATAAGGCCCTAGTTTCAATCCCTTCTCATATCTCAATATTTCTGGTACCTGCTTAATACAACATATCGGCTAGAAGGTATTTCTTTTTCAGAAATGTGTATGTCATTTATTTTGAAGAGGAACTTCCCAGAGTATTAATCACTGAGATAATATTTTACCAAGATGTATTGTACAGTAAAACTGAAGCTCTGCCCTACTGAGAAAGAAATGCTTGTCATTATTTGTGCTGATACATAGCACATAAAGTGCCAGGATGGCAAGAATCTTCTTTTCCAAGTTGTTCTGAATTGTTACCTATTGCTAGCCCTTTTTAAATCTGTGGCTTAAGCTGATGGAGCAGTCACAGTGGCATCACTGAAAGGGCTGGGCAACCTGCACTCTTAGAAACGTTGTTGGTGCTGATGAAAGGAAATGCTGAATGCCTTGGATCTTTTAATTAAGAAAAGGTCATGTGGAACTGTTATCCTGATTTGGACTCATCCAGCAAAAGACATTAATATATGAATATGATACAATTCTGATTTTCCTTGTTTCTGTATTGTTGGTCATTCATTTGAATAATTCAACAAAATATTAAACTCTTTCTTTTAACATCTATTTCTTTCTTCTTCCCAACTAAAATCTTTCTTAAATTAATTGAAGTACACATACCATATTTTTAGTAAATGTTTTCATTTCTGTATTTATATGCAATCTATAACATTTAACATGATTGGATAGTAGTAGTTGGATATCTTATTTTCTAAAATTATCCTCAGTCTCAAGGGAGAACATGATTAAAACATAAGTAGTCATTTCCATATGAAGATACAAATACTACTATTCTTTTAATAAATGTATTTAGCACACAGGCTTTCACTGACTGAAACTAATTTGATATTTGTTTTTCTTAGAACTATTTTTTCAATGCTTTTTTTTTGCATTTCTTGTCCACAGTGATTAATTCCTGAGATGTCCAGCCAGAATGCCATTTTTATAATGTAAGAAGGTAGAATAAGTTTTACAGTTTCTTCCTGCACTTGTGACTTTTATAACTTCTGAAAAGTATTCTATTCAGTTTAAAATTATTATACAGTGAGAACAATCATTTAAACTGTTTCTCAGATTTCCCTCACCTTTGTTCTCTACACTGCTCCAATTCTTTTAGGCCTATTGAACTCCTAAGGATGTTTGGACGAGAAATGTAAAAAAGGAAAGAAAGTGTAAATGTGTTTAGAATTACAGATTTCCCTGTGTTCTGATTTTATTTCTTAAGTAGTAGTCAAGGTGCCCTTTGCTCTTACTTATTTTATTCAGAAAAGAACTGTTGATGGAAGTGTCTTTTAAAGGTCCTTTTATTTATTTGGGAGGGGAGGTAATGCTGTCCCATTGAAATTCTCTTCACACATGTCTTGTTCACAATGCATTATTTCCTCCTTTAGAGATTTTCCTCCTTCAGAGAGCTATAAAGAAATTGGAGAGTGCATTCAGGTGATTTATATACTAACTAGTTTTTCAAATGTGTTCATTGATAGAAAACTCTACATTTGTGCAAGATTACTCTTAGTTAACTCTCTGTTGCTACAACAAAATGTCTGAAGCACTTGGGTTATATAGAGAAAATGTTTATATGGCATATGGTTTTGAAGTCTCCAGTTCAGGATCGAGTGGTCCCTATGTCTTGGGACTTTAGTGAGTTAGCACATCATGGCGGAGCAAAATGCTCATGTCATGGGCCAGGAAGGACAGAGAGGAAGAGGAAGAGACTAGGTTCCCATAATTCCCTTTGAGGACACACTGTCAGTGACCTAGGACTTCCCACCTTCCTTTACCGCCAAAAGCTTCCACCGTACCTCCCAGTAGTGTAACTTTGGGGACCAAGTCTTTAACACATGGAGCTGTGATGAGCGTTCAGCATCCAGACTGCAGCAATGACTTTTCCTTGGTAGTTTTTGGCTCTAAGTAGAAAAAGAATGATACATTTGACGTGGCAAAATGAAATTCTAATACTCTAAGACTCTTTAAGTGGCACTCAAGGATTTTGTTTTGTTTTAAACTGCTTTCACTGTAATCAAATCTTATAATTTCTCCAAGGACAGTTCGTTTTATTCTCCCATCTAAGAGAAACAATCTACCTGGTAATCTTAGAATTTGGCATGATAGACATCTGAGTCTTGAAGCTCAATTTTGCCACTTGTAGTTCTGTGTCCTGGGTTAGTCAGTTACCATCTTTGAACCTCTTGTTTCCTCATCTGTAAAATGGGAATATCCTGGAAAGGTGGATGCATAGGTGGAATGAAGTAAGGGATGTAAAATGACCTAAATCCAGGCACATCATAAGTGTTCAAAGTATACTCTTATTTTATTATAATTTTTATAATTTTTTATAATTTTTATCAATTTTAGATTTAACTTGATTCATAAGGATGAAATTTTAGTTTTAGAGCTATATACACATATATTTTATAATAATGAGTTATGTTTTCAGTCACAAGTGATTACTTCTAAAATTGGGAAATATGTTTATTGAAAATGACATGTATTAGGCTGTAGTGAATATTTTTATTTTGTGTTGTGAAGTAATAAAACCCTTAAGAAAAAACAAGATTCTACTGCTGCTGGCTGCAGTATCCATAGCCATGACCTCCACTGCCACCACTACCACACTGGTTCTGTTCATATTCAGGGGGCCAAAATAATGTGTGTAGGATGGTTTAAGGATTCACAGAATTAAATGGTTGATGGCCATAATCATCATTGACAGTAATTTCTAACTGAGATTCTTTCTCAAATTAGGACTTATATCTGCTTGACCAGCATAGTTATGGTGATCATATTTCCATAGCCCAAATCAAGACTTATGGTTTGACTTGAGGTGGATTATTAATACTAGGACAGTGCTGTGTTGAAACCCACCACACTGAACCACAGGAAATAAGCCTGTAGACAAATTAGATTCAATTTGCTTGCTGCAGCAAGGGAAGGTTGCACACACAGGAACTGTAGATGTCTTGGGAACCAGCAGTTGGGAGGGCTTTCTAGAGGATTTGGGCTTTTGCTGCGTGGATTTAAAGAGGGTTTAATGAATGGGGACAATTAAGATATTGGCTATCTTAGTAACTTTTATCCAGGTGTGAGAAAGATTAAGATGGGACTATAAAGAGGCAGTAGTAACTAGAGTTGGTTAGACAGGAGGATGCTTAATCATCGTGTGGGTGCAGAGTACCTTTGTTCATGTCCTATCTCAGCACAGGTGTCAGGTGATCGTATCTCATCTTCATGTTCTTATTTTGTGCACGTTGTTTACATTGAATAGTGATCATCAAAGCCGAGTTCAAGCCAGGGCAATGTGTCACTCTCTCCCCTGGAAAGTTCAGGGTGTGGTTTGATATCTAAGAGATTACGTGTTCTATTTTTTTTCCCAGACTTTTAGCAAAGCTTGATGATGAAGTGAAAATTATCTTCAATGTTAGGGCCGTAGAATATGACTGTCCATCAGGGAACTGAATTATCCTGATTATACTCTATTTCCTCATCAGGTTATGTGTCAGTCAGTGCTCAGTAGAGAATATATATATGG